TGTCCCTCTCTCTCTCTCTCTCTCTCTCTCTCTCTCTCTCTCTCTCTCTCTCTCTCTCTCTCTCTCTCTCTCAGGGTAGAAGAGACATACCCTTCATTTATTTCCTGGGTACAAAATTAAATGACAAAAGTAATTCCCAGGAAGACACACCACACACACTTAATCCCACGCGCTTCTGTACTTGGTATTTCGATAGTGTTCAGACCAGGAGCTGATCTCATCGGTGGCAAATTCTACTGGTCCAAATCATAAAAAATTGATGATTGTTTTTGACCCATAAAAGGCATTTCTTATGGTTCAACTAATACATTGTCATATTCTAAATGGGTGGTTTGGTTTTTAAAGTTACTATTTGGATAAAAATTACATTTTGAATTAGACTAAAATTCTTCTTTAAAAGTATAATAGAAAAAGCATATAAAATATAAGTTTATGACAGAATTTTTTAAGTAAATGCTTAAAATGAAAACCATAATCATAACTGACAATGACCAGGTAGCATGCAAGTAAGAAGGCTGGAGAAGCAGGTTTGTCCTTGATACATTTACATATAACATGACATTGGATTCCAAAGTCTGTGTATGAATTGGCTGGGCATGATTAACTGTTTAAAATGAAATATAAACACAAAGGCAACTTAAACATGGACATTAATTTACACAAGTCTGTTCAAGGTTGAAGATTTTAATTTAAAAAGTGAGGCAAAAAAAACCCTGTAGAAAGCAACCCTGAATCTATGTACACTTGATGGTCAAGGGCTGAAAATCCACTCTTGATGAATATCGTTCAGCAAAGGATGTATAACATACATCACACATCTGTTTCGAAAACAGTATATTTCCAAAGTCTTATTTTTTTTTTTTACAAATAAACATTACAGTACTAATAATTGGAGCTGGCATGTGGCATGATGGTTAAGGCGCTGGACTCCCACATGGCTGACCACAGTTCAAGTCCTGGACCTGGCGCCTTGCTCTCTTTTTCTCTTTTCTTTCTCTCTGTCTCTGGTCAAAATTGAAAAATAATGATAGTAAATAAATAATAAAAAAAGAACATTACAGTGCTGATAAATTTAGAGACACCATCAGGATGAACTCCAAAATAAGTTGCTAATTTTCATAAGGCATCCTTGAGCCTTGTCTTATGGCATCTATTTTAATCTTGGGGTTTTAAGAACATCTCTTTTTTTGGTTTAACTGGTTGCATGTCTTCATTTTCATCTTCTTCATAATTGACCTGGACTTTCCTATTGGCAAAGTTTTTTTCCAATTGTTATCACCAAAGTCTCATATCTTCTAGCCATTTCTTCATCTGACACATCAAGCTCCACTATTTCATCTTCAATGTCTTCTTCTTTGTTCTTGGCATTCACCTGCTGCATTAATTTCTCAACCTCAAGATTAAATCCTCTGAATGACATTCTTCCATAGAGAAGATCTTCACCTAAAGAGAACTCTGTTCTTCTATTATGAAACTTTCTTTCTCTTTAAGCTCTGGCAAATCCAAATACCGATGTTTTTCGCTAATGATTTTCTTTTCTTCCTCTTCTAGTTGTTTCTTGGTTTCTGAGTCCAGTCCCCTTTGTATGACCTTTATGCACAGCAGGTTCTTGGACAACTTGGTCTTGTGCTCGGCCACCATATTGCTTCCAAACCAGCGCCACACTCTCTCCCTCTCTCTCTCTTTAAGTCTGTATATTTCTTCCATGAGATATATATAGAGAGAAACAGGGATCCCCAACAGGGTCTTCACACCACAGCCCACCCAATGCAGAATCTGAATTTTTTTTTTAAGAGATTTTTGCTATAGGACACATGCGCTCACTGGAGAGATAGGGAGAGACAGAGAGATAGAAGGTAAGCAATCACTCCCCTGCACCCCCAAAAAGATGGCCATGCTACAGTTCCTTCTCCTTCATTCTCCTCTCTGGATTTTGAGCACACACACATGGGCCCAGTGTGAATTTTAAGCCTCCGGGTCTGGAACTCAACTGTGGTCAGTCTTTGGGAGTCCAGTGACACAACCATTATGCCATCTGCTGGTCCCAAGGAATCTGAACTTTCGGCATTATTATGAAGATAACTTTGGCCTCATAGACTACGTGAAATGTCTTGGGACCCTCACAAGGTACAGACCACACCTTGCACATTGCTGCCATAGATGACCTAGAGATGCCACATTCAGTCAGCTGGTTTCTCTGGCCAGCTGGGGAGAAGCACTGAGGCTGGGACAATAGTTGAGATTATGTAACTCAACAGGGCAACAGGAAGAAAAATGTATCTGACAGCATAAAATGAGGCTGCCATCAAGGTTTGATAACATCTGGGAACCAGCAGTTAGCGTAATGGCTATGTCGCTGGACTCCCACATAGTCGACCGCGGTTCGCGTCTCGAACCCGGTGGCTTAAATCTCACGTCGGGCGCGTGTGCGTGCGTGCCCAAGATCCCAAGAGGAGAATGGAGGAGAAGGGATTGCGGCGTGACCATCCCCCCTGGGGGGTGATTTCTCGCTTTCTATCTCTATGTCTCTCTCTGTCTGTCTGGCGAGGGTACGTGCCCTATAACGAAAACCTCTCCAAAAAAAAAAAAAAAAAGGTTTGATAACATCAAATGTTAAAAAATAACTTCACTACACACATCTCTGTGGGTGTTCATGGTTTCTATTTATACCCCTAATGAGGCCCTTAACCTGGGAAGAGCCAGATGTATGCCTGCGTATGTGCGGTAGGCTAAGAAGTACGTCCATGCACTTTGTTCCTTGGCAAGCTAAATAACAGGGTGGGGACCCAAACAGAAAGGGAACCCAGCTCAAAAACCTCTCCCTGACACTTCCTACATACTGGAGATTCATTTGGGCTAATAATGCTCCCCAAATCAACTTACACCTCAATCATACCTGGCATGTTTTCTTTTCATTTTTCTTTTATTATTTTTTATATACATTTGAGTGCTATACATTATTGGCTTGCAAAGAAAATTTACCCAATATGAAATACACCTCAGACCAGTCCAGTTAAGAATACTATACGTGTGGGGCTGACAGGTGGCTTGGTGGTTAAGGGCACTGGACTCCCACATGGCCAAATGCAGTTCAAGTCCCTAACCTGGTGGCTTGCTTTCTTGCTTTCTCTCTCTCTCTCTCTCTCTCTCTCTCTCTTTCTCCCTCTCTCCCTCTCTCCCTCCCACCCTTCCTCCCTCCAATCAAATTAAACAAATAAATAAAATAAATGAAGTTAAGTAAAATAATTATTTTTTTAAAAATACTATATATGTCATCATCAACAGGTAATAAACCATTACTGTGTCCCACAAATGCCTTGCATCTCTATTTTCCCCCTAATTTCCTTCTCTATACTCTTCCCTTCTCCCACCTTCCTTTTACAGTGTCTCCGTTGTCCATAACTATTTTCAATGCTTTTATAGCTTCCAATCTTTCAGTCTCTACCATAGAGTGCAGACAGTCAGTATATATTAAGTGGAGACATACAATTTCTTTCAAAGCCTGGCTTGCTTCACTCAGCAATAAATCGTCCATATTAGACCACTTTGTATCAAATCCTGGCATGTTTTCTACATTAATGCCTGTGTGGATCCTGTGCCCTAGGCTGGAAGGACGCAACCAGTTCTCCAAGCCCCAGTGGAGTACTTTTCCCTGTACCATCTGTGAGGGAACGTCGATATCTGCCATCAGTGACACGTGGACTTTTGGGCCACCTACTTTTATCACAGTATCAGGGTAGAAAAGGAACCTCGAACAAGGTGTACCCTGGAAAATGTCCCAATACAAGCCCACAGAAGGTATCTTTGCGTTCCTTTTGTTTATTTCCAACAAACAAAGGGAAATGAGTTTGGATCGACTATTAGTTACAACCCAATGTGAAAAGAAGAGATATTTAGAGTAGCTAGTAGGTATGCATCAGTTTCCATACATCTAAAACATATATAACTACCCGAAGCTGCTAGCTCATTGTTACAGCCTTTAGAAAGGTCTCTATTAAAATGAAAATCCAGGGCCAGCTGGTGGCATGATAAAAGGCAGCTGGACCCCACAAGACTGGCTGTATAGTTCAAATCCTCAGCCCAGTGACTTGAAATACATGCTGGGCAAGTGTGTGTTTGTGCCCAAAATCCCAAGAGGAGAATGGAGGGGTAGGAATTGTAACATGGCCATCCTTCCCAGGGAAATGCCTTCTCACTTTCTTTCTCTCTCTGGTGAGCATATCCACTCTATGACAAAAAAAAAAAAAAAAAAGAGAGAGAGAGAGAGAAAGAGAGAAAGAAAGAAAGGGAAAATCCAGGAGACTAGACAGTGGTGCAGAGAAAAAAACACAACCCTATGCAAAGCTCACCCACATGGAAAACTTTAAGGTGCAAACCAGGAATCTGCCTGAATATGCTAGGCATGTGTGCGCCCATGGTCTGGGGCTGGCTGAAGCTGAGGGCGGATCATGGCATTGGTACCCAGCTGGAGGTGCTGTCTGTCTGCTCTCTCTCACTCATGGAATAAATAAATCTAAGAAAAAGAAAACCTATAACCCATATGGCAAGTATTGCACAGACACATTGATGCCTGAGAATAAGAAGGAGCCAAAACTGGAAGGGAACCTTAGAGACGCGTGGCAGAGCATTTCACAATAATGAGCGTGACCTCTGAAGGGAAGCCACCATGCCACAGGCTGCATGTGGGGCTCCTTCTGCCAGGGAGATTCCAGTAGGGTAGACAGGGTCTTCACTGCAGCCAGAGTACTCTAAGTAACCTTTCCAGTGGCTCAAACCACAAGCAAATGGTAAGTCTACAAAAGCATGGCACGTGAGAAATGCTATAAAGATGGAACCTTTGTAAGTCAAATCAGCTAGTGGTGACAAGGGGCCAGTAATCTGGGCAGACCACACCCTCTAGTTTCATCCCGATTTACAGGAGAAAACACTCTGCACCAGGAGCGTGCACACAAGGGGAGCTTTCCCAGGGATGGGCTCCAAGAGAGGTCCCCTTGAGCAGTCACAGGGCATGGCATTTATCTATGGCATAAAGGATCCCTCAGTAAGTCACATCAACCCAACAAGGAAGCACAGAAAGGATGATAGCTAAGCTTGAGGAGTAAACAGTTGGGCTGCAAAAGAGGAAATGCAGAAATTCAAAGAAATGCTCAAACGCTGTCGAGGAAACAATGAGGAAGAAACCTTCCTCCTAATCTTCTAGTTCAAGTGGTGAGTAGCACACAACCAACAGTTTTGTAGTGAGCTCCACAAAATTTCCAGGAAAACTGAGGCCCAAGGAGGGTGTGATATTGTATACACACGCGCGCACACACACCTTTTCACCTACCATTTCTGGCTCATAGCTCACATAGCCTAAGTGACTAGATCAGTAAATAAATCTTTCACTGAAGTATTTGCCTTTTGTCCTTGGTTTTGAAGCAGGTTTGCAACAAGCTTTGGGGCAATAAAGGTAAAAGTCTTTCTCTCTTGAAAGCAGTTCATAGGTAGTAGAATTTCTCTTCCCCAAGGCAAGTTACAGCTAATCTTTCCCTGCCAACTCTGACCCAGATTGTCTGATGGTCAGTCTCAGACACTCCTACCCCATGGGATGGAAGAAGAATTCTACAGAGAGAGGCTAAAAAGTATCAACAGATAGACCCTGCTGGGTGCCCCACTCAGCCCATTAGCATTAGATTACATTCTTTTTGTCCAGTCACCTTTCTACATGGCTGTCGATGCTGCAATCATGCCTAGGCAATAAAGTCTCCATTAAACACACACACACACACACAAGGACACAGTTCAGAGAACTTGTGGATAGCTGAACACATCAAAGGTTGCAGAAGGGTGAAAAGAACTGAGCCACATGCCAGGAGGGTGGCACACCCCAACTCCATGCAAACACAGCTCCTGTACTCCGGACCCTTCTAGACCTCACCCTAGGCATCTCTTCATCTGGCTGTTTATTTGTATCCTTCAAAATATACTTTATAGTAAACTGGCAAGTGTAACTGTTTCCCTGAGTTCTGTGAGCTGCTCTGGCAAGTTAATCAGGCCTAAAGAGAGGATCATGCCAACCACAACTTGTAGCCAGTTGGTTAGATATTCCAGATGCCTGAACTCATTACTGGCATCTAAGGTGGGGACAATCTAGTGGGACTGAGTTCTCAGCCTGTGCAATCTAACATTATGCCCAGGTAGATGGCACCAGAATTGAGTTGGATTAAAAGATGCCCACTGGTGTCTGCTACCGAATTGATAGTTTCCTTGCTGGTAGAGAGAATCTCTAGATATTCAGGGATCACAGAAATTATCTCTGTTGTAGATATACAGTAGGCAAAATTGAGGGGATCTTCCCACACAGAGGGCCCAGCTCAGCCCAGATGACGTTCCAGTTTCAGTTTCCAGGGACAAATTTAAGCCTTCTTTAGAGAATGCAAAGCAGATCTCCTTGCCCCATCCCTGAACTTAACTACAGAGGACACCTCTCCTTCTTCCCATGGCTTTGGCAACATGAGCTGGCTATTTGGTGATGGAGCAGAAACCTGGGGGAGACTCTGCAAAGGAGGCTTCCAGCTGGACTTGGAGGTTCTGACACATGATCTGAGTTTAAAAAGTGTCTTCTCTGGAAGCTTTTCTTAAGTCCAAGCTCTTACTTGGTACCAGACTTCTGGAATCAACAAGCCGAAAGGACCAAAGAATAAGAGTCAGACGAGAGAGTGGCCTCCCGGGCACGCTTCTCAGCACCATCAGCCACCCCTCTCTGTAAGGTGGGGAACTGACAGAATAGAGGACGGAAAATTCTAAGGAAGATTTAGGAATGCGTCCTCCACCTAGGAGGGGACAGGATAGCTACTCACGTTGTGCTGTTGCTTTCCCCGAAACGCTGGTAGGAGCCCGGAGCAGAGAAGTTGGTCAGGCCTTCCGACGGGCTCTCCTCTGGGCTCACGTCAGTGGAGCTGTAGTCATGGTAGTCCTCATTCCGGAGCCTCTGCGTGGACATGGTGGCTGTGGGGACAGGGTCAGCGTTAGGACCACCAGTCGCTGGAGCCTTTAGCTCCAGGTCTGGGGTGGGCCCTGGGGCAGAAGTAGTCATGGTCACAGGTGCTCGCAGTGACAGCTGCACTGTGGATTAAGTACAAGAGTGCCTGGTACCAAGGGAAATGGAAAAGGTGCAAAGTACACAGGGGCGGGCTGGCGTCTCCTCCTACCTACTAGTCTGCTGGTCTGTGCCTCACTCGTAAATTTCTAAATTCACCCACAGGGCACCTGGACCTGGACGGACTGAGGAGAGGCACCACTTGCCAGGGGTGGGGGAAGACTAGATGAACGCTTTCAGGAAGTCTTCCCTGCTGTTAAGTCAGGATTAACTAGTCCTTCCTCTGCGCTGACTCCTTGGTCCTTGAATGGCAGTTAAATTCTATTTACCCCCACCCATCCCCGGAGCAGGTTCCCAGAGGATGGGAATCCGAGCATTTCTCATTGGATCCTCTTTCCGCTCTGCCTCTATTAGAGAGTTGATGAACTCGAGAAACACCAGCATACGCACCCCAGATCACCCACTTCTGCTCAAATCCCCACCAGGTCTGGAGCCACACGGCGGCTCTTCTCCCCTCTGCCATGACCTAGACCTATGCTTTGCTCCTGGGGGCCATCTTTAACTCTTGGTCATAGCCTGGGCTGTGGCCTGAGGACTTATTCTTGTCACCAACCCATGTGCTGAGAAAGGACAGCCGAAACAGCTCAGAGGAGGACCAGATGAGCTGGGCTCACCCTGACCCCTGCCTCCACATCTTCTGCCCACGGCCCTTTAACCTTTCCAGATTTACTTGTTTTTAAATGATGGTAAGAGGAGACATCTTTCCTGGCATTTGGAGGGGGAGGCAGTGTGCTGAGTGGCGCCTCTTGGGGTGGACTTTCTCAGTAATGCTTCTAGCTAGGGAGGGAGAAGACCCAGGGCTTTGCTAAAATACACCATGAGGACACCTTTGGGGAGTCATGTAGCAGTCTACTGATGAAGAGCCAATCCCAGACAATGAAGAGGCCTCCCTGAAAGAGCAGAAAGCCCACCTCCTGATGCCCTTTGAGAAACTGGAAACACCTACGGTCTATAGGGCCAGCTGCCACGAAGGAGTACCACTGGGAAAGACAACGTCCTGTCCCAAAGAATCTGCCATCACGTGAGGAAAAAGGCACATCGACATTAAAAGTTACACAAAACTACCTTTCTGCCATCTGGCAGACTGGCCAACTGCTTGCCCATAACCCTCTCTTCCAGCATGTGTGTGCTGTCAGATCCCAAGTGAGGAGAAAGGACATCCAGCAGCCATACAATACCCTTCCCACTGTGACACCCAACACCAGCTGCCAGAGGACAGCTCTCCACTGAGGGCTCCCCACAGATCCAGTCCCAGGGGAGAATTCTGGAAACTGACCCCACCCTGATACCAGACTCATCCAGGCGAGACCTCATTTTCTCCACCAACTGCAACATAGGAAGGACCCCACACAATCTCATCAGAAGACTGCTTAGCAGAAAGCCAGGGAAGGGCCTGGCAATCCCAGGGAGGCGCCTCCCAAAGATACTCGGCTAAAAATCTAGGAGGTCTTCATTTACCCACATGCTGGAGGAATTCAAGAACATCATCCAGAGCCAGGACAAAAAGTCTGTGAAATATCTCAACACGAGCAGTCGGACACCTCTCGTCACACTAGTAAGTTAGTTTATGTGTATGCCCGGAGGCCTCGTGCTAGGCTCACCTCTACACCAGTTTGCTCAGTAAATGAATGACTTCACTGGTCTAGGATCTCAGTTTCCGAACATGGAACAATAAGGGAGGAAAAGGGATTAAAATATCTCCCAGCTCTCCTCTAGCTCTAACACTCCAGGAATCAGTTGATGTAATTACTTATGCAACCAACAGCTAACTCCTTGTTTCTTCCAGCCTATCAAAAGGATCAGAGGAATAGGATCTTCCAAGCGAACCCTGTATATTACTGAGGGTGAAGAGACAGAATGCTGGAACTGAAAAATTCCCCAATCTCTCCCCATCAACCAAGAAAGCCACTCTGCTGCTTATTTGGTACAGATGCTCAATTTACTGCAAATTCTGTAAAGAGACCTTCTCACATGGTATGTAAAACCTGAATTTATGGGACCAGCAGATGGCATAATGATTACGTTACTGGCCTCCTACGTAGTCGACTACAGTTTGAGTCCTGGACCCAGTGGCTTAAAACTCACACCAGGTGTGTGTGCGTGTGTGCCCAAGATCCCAAAAGAGAATGGAGAAGGAAAGAGATCCCAACCATCCACCCTGGAGGATGATTTCTCACTTTCTCTCTTTGTCTCTCTCTGCCTTTCCAGTGAGGGCACATGTCCTAGAAAGAAAGAAAGAAAGAACCTTCTACCAAAGACAGCTGTCCAAGTGGAAAAGATGACTCTGGGAGAAAACATGTCCCCCATCCCTGGGGAAATCCAAGCCGAAGCCCTTTCTCAGCACCGTGAGCTAGGGAAGCAAGCATTGGAGAGGGTGGGCACAGCCACTTCCTGGAGTTCCTTTTGTGGCTCTTTTGGCAACCAAGGCCACCTCCTCTTGCTCTTTAGCTGTCTTCACTGAGCATAGTCTACATAGTCATCCTGCCCCAGGCTCCCTTTGATGAAACCTGGTAACCATGCCCCAGCTGCCCTGTGGGAAGTTTTAATGGTACTTGCTAACTGTCAAAATGAAGGCTGTAACGTGGGAGTTGAAGACAAGCTAGTCCTTCAGGTTTTAGAGGACAACGAACAGAGTTTATACGTTGTGTGGGGCCCATCAACACAGACTCAAAATCTCCACATGATAAACTGACCCCAAAGAGTGAACTACTAAGTAAGAAACGTCCACATGTTTGAGGAAGCAAAAATATAATTTTTTTCTTCAAGTGTGCATTCTTCTTTTTCCTTACATAAACTGTATTCATTGTATCACTAGAAAAGAGTTACTTTTTAATCTACAAAATATACCCCGTTTTTAGCTTGGTGCTAAAAATGAGCAGATGGAATCACTTTGTGCAATGGAAGTAGTATGAAAAAATGTGTTTGCAAATTGAACTTTTGTTTAAAAAAATCATGTTATATTTTCTGGATGTGGGCAACTTCTGTTGTTGTTTTGCTATGGGGAAAAAAGAGAGAAGGAGAAAGTGAGAAAGCACCCTGGGAACCAGCAGTTAGCGTAATGGCTACGTCGCTGGACTCCCACATAGTCGACCACGGTTCGCATCCCGGACCCGGTGGCTTAAAACTTATGCCGGGCACGTGTGCATGTGTGCCCAAGATCCCAAGAGGAGAATGGAGGAGAAGGGATTGTGGTGTGACCATCCCCCCAGTGGGTGATTACTCGTTTTCTGTTTCTATGTCTCTCCCTGTCGTCTGGCGAGCGCACGCGCCCTATAGCAAAAATCTCTCCAAAAAAAATTAAAAAAGAATAAAAAATAAGAAAGCACCCTGAGGAAGGTGGCCATGCCGCAATCCCTTCTCCTCCTCTTTCCCCTCAGGGTTTCAGGCACACATGCACACACAACCCTGGAGTGTTTTTTCAAGCCTCTGGGTCCATGACTTGAACTGCACAGTCTGCCAAGTGAGAACCAGCCACTTTAACCACCACACAAGAGACTGTGGGCAATTTTCAAATTGAATTTTGCAGTAATTTTTTTTTTTTTTTTGGAGAGATTTTTTTCGCTATAGGGTGCGTGCGCTCGCCAGACAGACAGAGAGACACATAGAGACAGAAAGCGAGAAATCACCCCCCAGGGGGGATGGTCACGCCGCAATCCCTTCTCCATTCTCCTCTCAGGATCTTGGGCACACACGCACACGCGCCCGGCGTGAGTTTTAAGCTACCGGGTCCAGGACGTGAACCGCAGTCAACTACATGGGAGTCCAGCGACATAGCCATAACGTTAACTGCTGGTTCCCAGTAATTTTTTTTTTTGAGATAAAGTCAGAAACTCTTTTTATAAATTCAAATACTAATGTTTCCATTTTAAAACAGTATGGTGAATCAGGGTCCTACAGAATGTATGTAGCCATCAAAAGTCCTCCATTCCAATCTCAGTACTGTTTTACTATTTCAGTATAAAAATTGAGAGGATTGGGACCAGCAGATGGTGTAAAGGTTATGTCATTGGATTCCCACGTAGTCAACTGCAGTTCAAGTCCCGAACCCGGCAGCTTAAAATTCATGCTGGGTGCACGTGCCTGAGTGCCCAAAAACCTGAGAGAAGAATGGAGGAGAAGGGATTAAAGCATGGCCATTTCTTCTGGGGAGGTGATTTCTTGTTTTCTGCCTCTCTTTCTCTCTGTCTCTCCAGCAAGCATATGCATCCTATAGCAAAAATCTCTCTTAAAAAAAAAAATTGAAAAGATTGCATTAAATGATTTCTAAGTGCATTTCATCTGAAATTCCAAGGCTCTAATTTAGATTTTTCAGTAACTGGGTTTTAAATGAAGGAGAATTACAACTCAATACATTGTGGCCAGTAGATAGCGGTATATATCACTGGACTCCCACATGGTCAACCACAGTTTGAGTACTGGATCTGGTGGTTTGAAAGTCTTGATGGGCGTGTGTGTATGTGTGCCTAAAATCCCAGGAAGAGAGTTGAGAAGGGATTATGGCATGGCCATCCCCTGGGGGGTGTGGATGATTTCTCTCTCCCTCTCACTGTTGCTGCTTTTCTCTCCAGCAAAGGCACGTGCCCTAAAGCAAAAGTCTCTCTTAAGAAAAAATAAATAAATAAAAGACTAAATATATGGGGCCAACTCCATGGCCCAGTAGTTAAGGCACCCAAAAAGCACATAGCCCACCCTGCGGTTCAAGTCCCAACCCTGCAGCATGAGAACACGCCAGGCTGGTGTATGTGTGTGCTCAAAATCCCAAAAGAAGGGGGAAATGGGGAAGGGCTGCAGCATGACCATGCCCCACAGAGGGCATTTTCTCGCTTTCCCTCTCTCTGTTTCTCTCTCTGGTGAGTGCACATACACTCCAGCAAATTAACAAACAAACAGAAAAGATGCTGGGCATGTGTGCATGCATGTCCAAAATCCTCACAGGGTGCAGAAATGGAAAAAGAACTATGGTATGACCATGCCCTGTTGGGGGCGTCTTTCTCCATCTCTCTCTGTCTTTCTCTCTGGCAAGCGCACATGGTCTCTGGCAATTATTTTTTAAAGACTCGTTATATGGTAAAATATTCTAAAGCTACACATACAACACAGTAGCCACTAACCACAAGCAGCTATTGAGTACTGGAAATATGATTGTCAAAAGCGAAGTGTGGGGACCAGCACATGGCATAATGGTTACGCCGCTGGACTCCCACATAGTCAGCCATGGTTTGAGTTCCTGACCAGGCAGCTTAGAACTCGCACTAGGTGTGTGTGTACATGTGTGCCCAAGATTCTGAGAGGAAACTGGAGAAGGGATTGCAGCATTGCCATCCCCCACAAGGGTTGATTTCTCGCTTTCTTTCTCTCCAGCGAGCTCACGTGACCTATAGTAAAAAAATCTCTCTTAAAAAAAAAAAAAGAAGTACAATGTGTGCACATTGGGTTTCAATGAGTTGGCATCAAAAAAACTGAAATATATCATAATTAACCACTTTAATTATTAATTTTTACATTGATTCTATGGTGCAATGAAAATAGTATAGCTGCATTGGGTTAAATAAAACATACTACATTTTCAAAAAAGAAGAAGAAGAAAAACAAGAGTTTCATTTTTAATCAACCTCCCAAGCACTTCTGATCACAGGTAGATTTAGGTAAGGCACTCCAATAAAAATGATAAATGGTATGATCTACTATGACAGGTATACCCCTGGCCTTACCTACCAAGGTTCAGGCATTGCTAATATAGGCAACTACAAGTGCTGTCCATTATGCTAAAATAATTGCACTAGGATGGACCTTGGAACCTGGAGCAGCAGCAAATCCCCTAGATGGGTTTTCTGCTCTCTATTGCTAGAATTCTGCAGACATAAACAAGGACACAGACTAGATTGCTGTGCACGGTTTACAGGAAGACAAGTAAAATGATGTTTGACCTCTACAGGATTTATTTTTAAAACAGCAACAGATAAGACTCTAACCAAGCTGCAGAACAGCTAAACATGTTCCCTTATTACCCGTAACCATAAAGTTAGGACCAGGATGGGGCCAACTGGTGGTTTAGAGGTTAAGACACTGGACTCTCTCATGCCCAACCACAGTTTGAGTCTCAGCCCTGGCCCTGATGGCTTGAAACTCACACAGGGTGCATGTGTTTGTGTAACCAAAATCCCGAGAGGAGAATGGAGAGGAAGGGACTGTGGCGTGGGGCCATCCCTGCACCCTGTGGAGGATGACTTCTCACTTTCTCATTCTACCTCTCTCTGTGTCTCTGGCAAGTGCACACACCTTATAGCAAAATATCTCAACAACAACAACAACAAAAAGTTAGGGCCAGGCATGTCTTCAGAGACGATGGAGCCTCAACTTTCCATTGAGATGTGAGAAAACCATGGTCCACAGAGGGAGGCTGACTTGTCCAGGACCCCCAGCTGGCCAAAGAAGATTTGGGATTAGAATCCAACAAACCAGAATCCCAGTCCTGTTCTCTTTCTACCCTGCCATAATTGATCTGCCCTCCCTAAAATCTCCCTGGGAAGAAAACTGGCCCAAGCCTGTAGCAATATTAGGCATTCCGGGCATTCTATATAATAAAATGATTATGAGTTTAGAGTCTGGGAGTGTGACTAAGCACGTTGCTTAACCTCTCTTCGCCTTGGTTTCTTCCTGGGAGAGATGTTATTAATAATCCCTACCTGCCAGTGTTGTAATGAAGGTAAGAGAGAAAGATAAACATTAGATATGTTGTCTGGTACATAATGGACCTTCGTTAACAGTAGCAACTGAGATTATCACTGTGGAGAAGTTCAAGGACAGAAAGTGAGAAAGTTCACTATATAAACGCTGCAGAACTTTCTCCATGGAATACTCTGGAGAACTGAGCCATGTCCCTGTTTTGGAAACTGCGACCTAACTGCCATCACAGTAAGGCACTAACAGATGCCCACGCTGCGTGGACAAGGAAACCACGGAGGAGCTTTTCTTTCCAGAGAGGGTAATGGAGATTCTGACCCCGAGCATCCAGGCTTCCGAGAGAAATGTTTTGGGGTGCAGAAGAGGGGACAACACCACATACAGCACTTGTGATTCCTATATCCAATGCCTACCCGTTGGACCCCCACCCACTGCACAGAAGCTAACATCATGTGCTCAACCCTACTGGCCTGGCCAAATCAGAGAGTGCAGAATTGCTCCAAGGCCTGGGTTGAGGTAAACAGGCTCAATGTGAGTTTCCTCTATGGGAAAGACAGAAAAGCTGGCCTCGGTGTAGGTGGTACTACTCATCACACACTTCTGGAAGGGGTTCTGAGCACCAGGCCAGCAAGAGCAGAAACAGAAGGCCAGTCACCGGCCCAGTTTAAGGATCTCACTTCAGGTCAAGGTGAAGAGAAGAAATGTATCATTACCAGCAATGGTTTCTCAGATGCTTGAAGAAATATCAAGCATTTAAAGAACTATCAGGTTAGGGAAGTGGGAGAGGAGATAAAAAGAAAGCAGCAACAAGGGTACTTATGGTGAGAAAGGTTACCTGAGGCAAGGGGGAAACGAAAGCATTCACCAAAGTGGACCTCTCCATGCCTCCTGCAAGTCCAGACCTAGAATTTCACAGACTCTCAGAGTTAGAAGAAAACTTAAAGCTATCTAGTCCAACCCTCTACCCAATATCAATAACGTCCCCCAAAAGTATTGTCTGGTGACAAAGGGCTCCTTGCCCTGTGTTTCACCATGGGTGAGCACTAATTCTTTCAAAGGCCTCATGCTCACCCCCAAACCACCTTCCCAGTGCACATCCATCCATCAGTCCCAACTGCAGTCCTGGGAACACCACGAAATAAGTGGAATCTGCTTCCTCACACAGACAAGGACTCTGAGCACTTCCAGCTGCCACAGGACGAGGCTGAATGAACAGCTACATGGTTTAAAAGGAAAAGCAGGACTCACAAGCGGGCAATTATAAATGATACGATCAGAAAACAACGGGCAAGAGACTTAATGCTATCCTCAGAGCATACATCCCAGACAGTCTCAAACTCAGAGCAAATGACAGAGCCTGTCATGACTCCTTAACTTCCTGACTTCAAGACCATCTCTAAAGAAAGCATATACTAAATGTACAAGTAAGTTCATTATTGTCAGCTAGGCTCCAGACAAGCTTCAAAAGAGGCCCTGACTGGGACAAGCAGATGGCGTAATGGTTACATCACTGGACTCCCACGTGGTCAATCATGGTTCAAGTCCTGGACCCAGAGGCTTGACACTCATGCTGGGTGTATGTATGTGCACAGTGGAGGAGAAGGGATTGAGGTGTGGCCACCTCCTCCTGGGAAGTGATTCCTTGCTTTCTGTCTCTCTGGCGAATGCATACGCCCTATAGTAAAAAAAATCTCTATTAAAAAAAAAAAAGCGGCCCTGATCACATTTAAAGAGATCAACTTCAGCTAAGCTCATCTTTAGCTGTCAGTGGTTAACTTGGATATAATACAGAGATAGGCAGAAAGAGGAGGATTTCATGGCACCTGCGAGTAAATGAAAGACACTACTTCCTAGACGACTAGATTAGGTCTTGCTGCAAGGCTGATACTTAATGTCCACAGCCGGTGAATAAAAAGCAAACAGACCAAGACACAGAATGTTATAGAAAAAGGGCCCTCGGGGATTCAGTTCCATCACTGCACAGACGGAGGAACCTAAACCCGGAGGACAGGATGGGAGTCGCCCTAGTTTGCAAAGAGGCAGAGCTAGGACAAACCTCCTGGGTTCTTCCCTCAGCATCTTGCTGCGACTGCCTCTTGTTTCGGCAAGCTTCAAATGCACTGACTGCGTCCATCCAAACAGCCAGGCTTCCCCAAATCTGAGGGGTTACAGAAAAAAATGAAGCATAGCTCTTTCCATTCTTCACGTTAACAGCCAAGGCTGCCCACAACCTCCACTGAGCCCTGGCTCCTCCCAGGCGCACACTCTGATTCCTGTTTCATATTTTGGTGGGACTGACACCAAACTACAGAACGGTTACAAACCTACAGAATGATGACTCTGCAGAAAATCCCTGAGCAAACGGAACCACACCCAGAGCCACTCCAAACAGGGCGATGGAGCATGCAGAGAGCTAAAAAGGGAGGACTAAGAGAAAAAGCGTCAGGAAAGGGGTGCCCTTCTTTTGCTTGTCAAGTCTCCCCGCAGGAGGCAGTGTGGCGAAACGCAGGACTGGCATTCTAGGTCTGCGACTAACTCGCAGGGTGACCTTAAGCAAGCCCCCACTGTTTCCCGGGTCTCGGTCTCCCCAACTATCCTAGGAGGGGACTGCAGCAGATGACTTCCCAGTGTCCTTCAGTTCTAGTGCCGTGCGACCCAAAGACCCATTATGAGAAGTCCGAGTGGGGCTCCCGCCGCGGGCAGACTTGCTGGAGACAGCCGTGCTCCTTTGGGAGGTGTCGGAGAAGTCCTGGCTGGTTGTTTGGGTGATCGTCCCCATCTCAGGACGTCAGTTTCCCCATCTGTCAAACAGGACGGGGAAGACGCCAACCCCAAGAGGTAAAGGGGGGGTAACGCGAAGGACAAGCGATCTCCAGGACCGGTGCCGACATGGGACCGCAGCCCCAGCCAGGAGCGGAGGACGCGCGGACCCGCAGCCCAGGTGGGTGCAGTGCACGTCCTGGAGCACCTGCTACGCCGGGGATGAGAGGTGGGTCCTGCAGAGGGGCGACCGCCGCCAGCCAGAGCAGGCCAGCGCGGGGACTCACCGCGCGGGTTCCGGCTCCAGCTTGGGCTCCGGATCCCGCTCCGGCTCCGGCCTCAGCACAGTCCACCCCTCACTGCCTCAGCGACCACCCCTCGCCATCCTCCTTGACTGCCGGGGCAGCCGCTTCCGGGCCCCTTCACGTGATCCAGGCGGCCAAGCCGGAGGCTGAGGTCACGTGTCCCTGCTCTTGGCAGCTCCTCTTTTTCGCTCATTGTGTTCCTATACTCCGCTCCGCATCGCCCCCTGGTGACCAATTGCTATCATTGCAGAAAATACAGGGGGCCTGGGACTAGGCGTTGGGAACTAAGGGGGACTTTGGTCTTCAAGCATGGGCAGAGGAGGGTCAAAGAACACTGTCCTCTGATCTGTGCACTGTGAAATATTGCTATTTTTACACTAGCTGTATTTTCTTTAGTATATCTCAATGAGTATGTACTGCTTATATAATTAAATATGCTATTCTAAAAATAGTCTAGTCATATTTCTAGGAGCATACCAAACTCTCCTCTGTGATTACTACTGGAAATGGAACTGTGAAGTAGGGTAACAGTTTTTGTTTTTGTTTGGTTTTAGGTGCTTAGGTTTTTACCATAGGGCATGCACACTTGCTGGAGAGACACAGAGACAGCGAGAAGTCAACTCCCCAGGCAGGATGGCCACACCACAATCCCTTCTCCTCCATTCTCCTCCTGAAAATTTAGGCCCACATTAATATACCCATGTAGCTGACTGCGGTTCGAATCTCAGACTCGGTGGCTTAAACTCATGCTGGACGCATGTGAATGTGTGCCCAAAATCCCGAGAGGAGAATGGAGGATAAGGGATTGTGGTATGCCCTTTGAGGGGTGATTTCTCGCTTTCTTGTCTCTCTGTCTCTCTCTGGCGAGCGCATGCACCCTATAGAAAAAAATTTTAAAAACTCTCAAAAAAATGAAAATTAACACTTATTTTTAAAGAATTAACTAAAGTTAATTAAACATCCCAAGAATTAATACAAACTTCTTAAGCTATTCCAAAATATAGAGCTAGAGGGGATACTTTGGAACACATTCTGTAAGACCAGCGTCACCTTGACACCTAAGCCAAAGATACCACAAGACAAGAAAACTACAGGCTGATTACCCTGGTGAATATTGATGCAAAGTCTTCATTATGACCAATAGGGGTTTATCTCTGACATGCAAGTCTGGTTTAACATAAGCAAATCGATCAAGGTGATATGTTATATTAACAGAATGAAAGATTAAAATTATATGGTCATCTCAACTGACACAGAAAAAGCATTTGACAAAGTTCAACATTCTTTCTTGAGAAAAATTATCAACAGTTTAGGTATAAACGGAAAGTTCTTCAACACAATAAAAGCCATTTTAACATAATCAAAGTGAGGAAACTGGAAGTTTTTCCACTAAAATCCAGTACAAGGCTCGGATGCCTCTTCTCACCATTCCTGTGCAACATAGTAGTAGAAGTACTAGCAAGAGCAATCAGATAAGGAAAAGAAATGAAAGACCTCCCAGTAAGAAAAGAAGTAAAATGTTCTCTATTTGCAGATGGCATGGTTCTGTATGTAGAAAAGTCTAAAGATTCCAGGGGGAAAAAAGCACGTTATTACTAATAAATAAATTCAATAACGTTTCTGGATTCAAAATCAACATACAAAACATAGTAACATTTTTTAAAGAATTATTTTATTTAACTTTATTTATTTACTTGACCAGAGAGAGTCAGAGCCAGAGAGAGAGTGAGAAGGCAAGCCACCAAGTCCGGGACTAGAACCATAGTTGGCCATGTGGGAGTCCAATGCCATTAACAACCATGCCACCTGCCAGTCCCAAAAATATGGCAACATTTTTATGCACAAATAATTACCTAGTTAAAAGCAATATAGGAAACGATCCCATTTACAATAACATTAAAGAACCACTAGCCAGCAGATGGTATAGTGGTTAAGGCATTGGACTCCCACATGGAGACTGGAATTAGAGTCCTGGAGCTGGAGGCTTAAAAATCAGGCCAGGCATGTGTGCATGTGTACCCAAAATGAATGGAGCAGAAGGGATTGCAACATGGCCACCTCCCCAGGGAGTGATCTCTCTCTCTCTCGCTCTCTCCCTCTCTCTCGCACACACACACTCTCTCACTCTTTCTGGTGAGTGTATATGCCCTATGGAAAAACCTTAAAAAAACAAACAAGAGAACAGACACCTTCCTAAATTTTGTGAGCTAGGCCTCCTAGTTTGCCTGACCCTAGTCCCGGCTGTGCTCCACACAGACTTGTACTCAAATATTTACAGCAAGCAGCTTTACTCTTTATAGGTAAAACCCAGTAACAACCCAAATGTATCTATAAGGCAGTGGCTAAAATAACTGTGGCATATTGACATAGGAGAAGGACTTGCTGATGTATGCAAACAAATGGATGAATTTCATTATAATAAGTGTTAAAAAAACAGACACAAAGGACTACATAGTGTATAATTTGCTTTAAATGAATGATCAGAAACTAATCTCATGTCCAAAAGCTGATAAATGGTCGCTTGGGACAGAAGGGTCAGTGGGGACTGGCTGCAAAGGAACGCAAGAGAGCTCTCCAGGGTGATGTCAATAATCTGTGTCTTGATCAAGGTGATGGTAACGTGGGTTTACATATTTGACAAAAACCATTAACCTAGACAATTAAAATGCATAACTTTATTGTATATAAATCATACTTCGAAAGGTTGATTTAAAAGATTTAAAGAGATTACCAAGCATTTGAGCAAAGCCTTTAAGATAAAAGTTAGAGGGGCTGGCAGGTTGCGCAGTGGTTAAGGTGCTAGACTCCCACGGGGCCGACTGCAGTTCGAGTCCCAAACGTAGTGACTTGCTTTCTCACTTTGCCTTTCTCTCTCTGTCTCTTTCTAGTCAAATTAAATTATAATAATAAATAAAATAAATAAATAATTCTAAAAAAAAAAAGTTAGAAAGATCATCTAATCCACAAACACATGAAAACAATTTAGAGGATACTCTGCCAAATAAAACCCCAAACACACACATACATTAATATCCTAAGAGAGATAAGATGTTGCAATCATAAAATAAGAACAATATGCTTTAAAACTAGAATATTCTGAGGGGCCAGCAGGTAGTGTAGTAGTTAAGGTGCTGGATTCCCACACGGCCTACTGCAGTTAGAGCTCCAGACCCAGCAGCTTGAAAATCATGCCAGGTGTGTGAGCGTGCATGCCCCAAATCCCGAGAAGAATGGAGAAGAGATTGCAATATAGCCATTCCCCCTGGGGGGTGATTTCTCACTTTCCCTTTCTTTCTGTCTCTCTCTGGCAAGCACACGCGTCTTAGGGTAAAAACCTAAAAAAAATTTTCTGAGAAAAATGGCATTTGAAAATTAAAATATAAATAACAAAAATTAAAAATTAATAGAAGAGTAGGGAGTTAAGCATAAGAGAATCTATTTACTTTTCTTATTAATAAATATTTGTTGAGTATCTATGTGCCAGGCGCTGGGACTACAATAGGAAGAAAATAGACAAAAACCCCTGCCTTTGTGAAGTTTACATTGTAGTGAGGGGAGACAGACAACAAAAATAAGTAAGGAATATACTTATCATGCCAGCAGACATATCTTCTGTGAAGAAAAATAAACCAGGAAAGGGGGAGAGGGAGTCTGAGGGCAAGGTGAGAGGTTGCAATAATTTTACTTTTTATTGTTTAAATAATTATTTATTTTGTTTTATTTATTATTATTAATTTTCAATTTGCTATTGGGCACATTGCTCATGAGAGAAAGAGAGAGAAAGCAAACTGCCAGGTCTGGGATTCAAACTACAGTTGACCATGGGGGAGTCCAGTGCTTTATGACCATGCGACTTGCTGGCCCCATTTTAAACAGTCAAAGAAGGTCTTACTGAAAAGGTGATATGCAAGCAAAGACTGAAAGCAGGTGGAGATGAGCCATGTGTGTATCTCTGGGACAAGCATTATGGGCAGAGGGAGCAGCCTTGGCCAAGGCCCTGGGGTGGAAGCAAGTCTAGCCTTTTTGAAGAATGGCCAGGAGCTTAGTGTGGCTGGAGCAGAGTGAGCTATTCTGCTGTGGGAAGAGAAGTCCACTAGGTCAGAGTGATGGTTTGTGGGTGAAAATCATGTGGAATTCTGTGAGTCATTGTAAGGAATTTGGCTTTTTCCCTGGGATGGGAAGATATCAGAGGATCTGAACAGAGAAGCACCATGATCTTAAGTGGATATAAAAATCATACTTTGACTACTGGGTTGATACAGGCAAGGACAGAAAGGGGCAGAAAGGAAGGAAGAAAGGCAGGAAGTTACAATACTTAAAGCCAAGAGACTGGTCGAGATCACCAACGGAGTAACAAGTGGGTCGCCTGGATCTGGTGGTGACAGCAGCACCTTTCTGCTGTGTGATACCTGGGAAAGTCCAGGAGGGGTGGCGGATTCTTCAGGGACATAGACTTGTATGTGAAAATGAAGCCAAGACCTCTGTCTGACAGCCTGCGCCTGCAAGCAGGCCCACAACGACAGGAGCATCAGAGCACATACAAGACTCAGGCACACTTCTCACCTCGGAACCCGATGCTGCCCACACCAGAACACATTTCAATATAACAAAGGCATTCCCAGTGGGGTGTGCTGGCCAGGAGGGGCCTATAAATGAGTAAGGGAGGTGCTGATGTATTCAGATTCTTGCCCCTTAGAGCAACCAGGTGGGTCCTATGGTGTCTGGAGCTTCTGAGACAACTACCTGTAGTCATGAGCAGCCTTGTTTTTTAGCCCAAGGACCCGCAAAATGTTATTATTTTCTACATACTGTAAAGTTAAAAAAAATAATAATAATAATAGATATTGGATAAGTAGGATGTCCATTTAACCTTTCATTCAAATGGGAATACTTTTGAGAATGAACAGGGCCATATTAATATTTCACTAGGCTAACAGGCATATAGTGGGATGTGTGGGATGTCCCCCGTAAACTGGGATGTGCAGTTGAGTAGGCAGAATAACAGCCCCTAGGATGCCACTAGTTCACAGAACTTACGATATGTATGATATGTTATCTTAGATAGCAAAAGGGATTTTGCAGATGTGATTAAGTTAAGGATGTTAAGATGAGGCAA